GAAATAATAAAACATCATTTATTAATTGTTGTACGATATCTTTTTGATTCCACCCAAGAATAATAGAACCCGAATAATGGGTTTGATTACCAAATACAAATTTGTATACAGTAGAAATTGCATTAGTAGAATTAGAAAAAGTTATATAATAATTGTCTGATTCACAATAATATTCGGGAAAAAAAAAATTATAATCATTTCCTCTTTGAATAGTAATACAAAAAAAATGATTATTAAGGTTGACTTTTACTTTAAAGCCAAGTCAAATAGGAAAATAAAACAGGTCATTATTGTTCTCATAAAATTCCCACCAATAACGTGAGTAAGGTCCGTAATGAAGCTCGTCGACAAGAAAACCTTTTTTTAGTATAGTAATAGCGACTTGACGTGGTCGCTTGGACATTTTAGCATGGAATTAGGGTGAGCAGTGCGAGATGCAAATATTTCTTGACAAGTATAATTAAACTTATCCCCGAATTTACTAACTAATTTCTGCAGATCACATGTGAATTATCACTTAAGTATATACAGAATAATAGATTTGTATAAAAAAAAGATTTTAGTATAATTAAGTTGATAAAAAGAGTAGTAGTAAATTTGTGAAATAGAACTTTGAGAATTGAATATAAGATATCAAATGGGATAGTAACTGATATATCAATAGTTGGATTATGTTGATAAAGAATATCTGTAAGGAACTTGAGTTGGGTTTTAGCCAGAGTTTTAATAAAATATTTAAAGCTCTATTTTGAGGCTAGTTTCTCTTTAGTTGCAGGTTTAGTAACTTTTCCTAATACAAAATTGATAAGATGAGGTTTAATATATTTAAAGATTTGGTAAGATAATGATATATTAAAGTTAGTGAATAGTTTCATTTTGTTGGTAATAAGAAATTTTTCAGACTAATCAAAAAAGTTTTCTTGGGTTTGTTGTGGAATTTTGAGTTTGTTTTGTTTAATAGCTTTTTTTTTAAGAAGTTGAAGAAATTGTTTAAAAATTTGGATTTTTTCAACTTTGTCAATAAAAGCAAATTTGGCTGTATAAAACATTGTACATTGCAGTTGATTAAGAGGTTGAGTTTGGGTTGCAAATTTCAATTTGAGATTTGAAGTAACTTTAGATAAGCTGTTATAATTGAAAGAGAATAGTGGAATTTTGGTAGTAGATGATTGAAGAATAGTATTTTTGGTTTTCTTAAATTGGTTTAGAGTTATATCCATAAGGGTGACAAAGCCAGAAGTTAGAGAAAAAGGTGTTGTAGATCTTGAAGAAAGTTGGTAATAATGAGAAGTAAATAAAGTATAATATGTTTTACAGAGACATAGAATAACAGAAAGTTGATAGAGTGTTTTAAAATAATGAATTTTGTTTTTTTTTGTGATATTCAGTTAAATGAACAGCAAATTGGATAGGTTTGATTTGTTGCAGATTGCTTTCTTTAATTATAACACCAAAATAGTCTCCATACTTGGCTAAAAATAATCTAAATTATATTGGTCAGGTTCTTGACTAATAGATATAGACATGATTGTTTCGGATTTTAATATAGATTTGATATATAGATTCTTGAGTTAAAATGAATTTGAATAATATAGGGTGTGACAAATAAGGAGTATGACTAATAAAAGAAAGTAACAAATAAGTAGATGCGATATATAAGAGAGGGTGACAAATAGAAAAGTGTTACAAGTAGTATGTAACACTTTATAGATTTATTTGTAAATCAAGAGTGACATTAAACAAATTTGTGTAAATTTAGAAAGAATACAAATATATAATTAGACTTTGTTAAAAATAGATTGTATAATATGGATTAGTAATTCATTTGGGTGGGTTTGGACAGGAGTAGACTACAGAAAATCCTTCAAAAAATAAAAAATAAAAAATTAGAAAAATTAAAAATTTTTACAAGGAGTTTCAAGTATTTTGTTAATAAATTAGTTAAATTTAGTCCAAATTTAATAAATAATATATCAAAATGAAGTTATTAATGAGCTCTTTCTGTTTGTTCTAATAAGCAAGAGCAATTTACTTAATAAATTTCTATAATAAAATAGATAGAAAAGTTTAGTATTTAATTATTATATCTCTATAAATAAAGAACTTAAAGATATAAAACTTTATTGTCTAAATATAAAATTATATTAGGAACAACTTTACTTAGATGCTCAGAAGTAGTTTATTTAATAAAATAGTGAGCTATAATCAGTTTTGTGCTGTAGAAAGTTGGTACAAGTGATCATTAGAAAGAGTTAATAATTTGTGTCATTTTGTTATGATTATAAAAGAAGATTTAATATAATGTGATTATAAAGATAGTGGTTATATAGAGGAAAGACTATATATATATATATATATATATATATATATTTTTATTATCTTGAAGATTTTTGAATACTTTTAATATCTGTTACATTTCTTTAAAGATTAGAGTTATCATTCAATAAAGATTGTCAAATGGCATATGGCTTTTATATTTATTATCTTATTTATAAAAATAGTTTATGCTTTATTAAGTCTATTATATAATATTTTATAATATAGAACCTATTATTATTTATCTGTCTTGCAGTTTACTAACTCTATATAACCTATCAATCAAATTATCTTTTATATTTAATATTCTTTTTATTAATTCTTTTAACTGAATTTTTTTAATATTAGTATTATTTATTAATAAATTTTTTATAAATAAATCATATTTTATTTTTTATAAAAAATTGAGTCTTATAATTTAGTTGTTAAGTTTTTATTCTTTATAGACAAGGTTAATAATTTAAGTTAACTAAAGACAAAATACTTTATAACCAAAAATAGGGCCTATAATTAGATGTAAAGTTTTATAAAAATCCAAATAAAGGTACATATTTGATTTAAAGAATTTTTTAAAAAAAATCAGTATGACAAAATATAAACATTATTATAATATAAAATATAAAAAATAGCATTAATATTTATAGAAAAAATTGGATATATTTAATATAAAATTACCTTTAATACTATAAATTCAAATAGATATAGTTATTAATCTACTTTTGTTTAGTGAAATTTGTATTAAAAATAAAGTAGCTCTAATATTCATTATTAAAAATAATATTGGTAATATAAAAAAAATTAAAAATTAGAAACTTTAAATAAGAAATTCACAGGTAAGTTTTAAGTATAACAATTAGTAAATAATCTGTAGATAGAATCTTTAAATAAATAATAATTAAAAAGTTATACAAATTTATTCATAAAAAATACAAAAACTACTTACTTAAAATTTCATGCCAATCTCCTATTGATATCATAACAAATACAACATCTTCTCTAATAATAATTCCACTATTGGCCTTTATGAATGATATTATCTAGCATTACAAAAGTGCAAATGTAATACAAAACATTATAAATGATACTTCTATATTATAAAACTTAATAATATAGAAATCAACACTTTCAAATCTAACCTTCTTCATATTAAATCTAAATTCTCATCAAACTTAACTTTTTTTTGTATAATGAGCAATCAGCCTATTCTTTTTAGAAAACCTCAAAATGTAATATGCTATCTTGGTATCTTTTATGATAATGATGGTTTTCTTACACAACTCTTAATCAAATTCAAAATAAATTTGAAAACTTTTTTATTCTTATTCAATACAAAAAAGTAATATCCTTAAAATTTTAGTACTTTTTAATTTAATTTTACAATCTTCTTTAGAATATCTGCTTCAAATCATCCTAATTTATACAAATATACAATCTAAATTTACTCATTTATTTACTATTCACACTAAAAAATACTATCACTAGTCAAAAACACTAACAATATAATGCTTACCAATCCACTTACTTTTAACTTACCATTCTTTAATAATATTATTTAAAAAATTAGTGCAACTAATACTGAACATATTTTTAATATACTACCAATTCTTAAAAATATTGATATACAATAAATTAAAGGTTAGCTAACTAAAATATAGTCTCTTCAACTTTGAACTAATATTTTAATTAATCACTAGGTTGTCATACCCTATTTTTTATATTTTTTATAAAATCTAATAATTATTAATTTGAGTTTTTTTTTATTTATTGAATTATAAAGATCAAAAAGAAGATTATAAGAAAAATAAGATAATAAAAGAATAATATTATCTTTTTTATAATTTAAAGTTATTTGTTATTTTTCTTTTATATATATTTTTAAATAGCCTATTTTCTATTATGTTTATATCAAATAATTTAATAAAAATTTGACTTTATCAATTGTTTTAGTAAATAAGATATTCTTAGATTGATGATTAATATTACTATAAGATTTAGATAACATTAATTTGCTTTTCTAAATCTACTTACAGAGACAGTTAATGATTTTTTTACTATATATTTAGAATCTTTAAAAAAAATTAGAACAAACTTTACTAAAGTAAGGAAGTTTATAACTTTTAGAAAGAACTTTTCTTTTATATAAATCAGAATTAAAAATATTGAGAAGTATTAACATTAAATTATGTTTTTTCTTGCTCATAATAATATTTTCTAATACTAAAGATTCTAATAAATCTGATAAAATCTTCTTATTATATTTTTTTCACATATACAACACTTCAAAATTTTTTAAAAAGATTATTAAAAGATCCTTAGATATGGTACCCACATTACTTGTACTCTCTAATTCTTTATCAAAGTATAAGTTCTCAACTGTTTCATTATTTACTTTCTTATAGTCTAAAAAAGGAATATATTCATTATAAGTTTCAAGAAATTGATCTAAATTTTCAAAAAATTTCATTATAAGTTTATGTGAGTATGAAATAAAGTTTTTGATTTAATAATTATTAATTCAATTTTAATTGCTTGTGTACTGAAAAGGTCAGGTTTGAAGTGTTCTACTTATATATGTATTATAAGCATATTTATAATCAAAAAATTTATTAAACTAATTAAATAACTAGTGTTAACTGACATTATATAAATTAGAATCAGCTGAATGAATTTGACCATAATTGTTAACATTGATGGGTTATTGATTCGGTTAAATAATTATTGATAAAGAATAATTTTAGGTTGATGATAAAGCCAATGTGGTTTTTAACATTTCAATAAAGTCCAATTAATGCTCATTCATTAAGCTCTAATTAGACCTTTTCAATAGATAACCAAATTGACAATTCTAGGTTTGGATATTATTAAATTACTGAAGGATATTATTCAAATTTTAAGCCAACTGGTAATCAAAAATTAGTATTCTATATTACATTTGAAAAAATGAATTTTTTAACTATAAAACTAAATAATTTAATTTATAACTTTAAAATAAAGCCAAAAGACCCAAGATTTTATTATAATTTCTTAAATTTATTAGAAGAAATTGATATTCGTATAATGTTACAAATAGAATAAAAGCGTGTCGCA